TACCTGCTTTCAGCACCAGGTGTCAATTCTGTCTTCCTTCCTTCTCTGTGCCTCTCCCAAGTTTGCCTGCTGCGGAGTGAATGGACCAGAAGATTTTGAAGCTATCCCTTTTCTTCCATACTCCTCTTTGGAAAAGACAACACCAGAGGCTTGTTGTCAGCGAGAGCTCCAGAGCCGGGAAGGGATGTTCATCGACAGGGAAGCTTGTCTCACGGGCGTCGAGAAGTTTCAGAACCGACAGGTAAGGGAGGATGAACACCAGGAAAAGGAGGTTCACAGTGGGAAGAGATGGCTGCAGTGGTCATGAGTACCCCATGAATCTGGCAGGTCCTGACTGTACCTCACGTCCTGCTTACACTTCTGCTGACAGCTTGTGATGGCATGTGTCTGATTTTGCCAGTCCCCTTTCCTTGCATGCCCTGCTAAGTCCATTGTTGTGCTGTATCACCAGAAATAGGAAGATTTTTCCAAGGAATTGAGAGGTGAGGTGGAAATTCAAATCGTTTTGTCATGTTTATGAGGGTTAGAACTACCTCTGAGAGGTTATTTACCATGCCAGCACAGGTCAGCGAGTATGGGATGGAATTGGCTCTTACTGGCTGCAGTAGTGGCTCCAGTTTAGTTCACAAAGACTCCTAATCAGCACATACAATCAAGAGATCATGGTCATGGAGGGGCTGTGGGTGTGAAGCAGCCCATCACACCACAGCAAACCCTTTCCCCTCCCTGGCACTGTTCTTGGGTCTCCTGGGCGAGGCAGCGAGCGAGGGCTGTTCTCGTGGTCCCTGGCTCTGAAAGCAGCCCATGTTCTAACGAGGGCTGCGTGGGGAGAACAATGCAATGCACTGCTCAAGTGTGTCTCACCATGTTTTGCCTTTGCTAGGGGTGCTACACTGTGATCCTGAACTCCTTTGAGACCTACGTGTACCTCGCGGGAGCCCTTGCCATCGGAGTGTTGGCTATTGAGGTACTCGTGTTGTCTGACCGGCGTGGGTAATGGCCAGCAGCCAGAGCTGCTCTGCCGTGTGCAAGGTTACCATCCTGTGGCTTTCATTGCCTGGAAAGAGATGGGGGATCCTTTGACACCAGAGGCAGGGAGAGAACTGCAGCCACACACCTGCAGTGCCACCTCGTGCTGTGCCTGCCCCAGGGCCCCACAGTCCCTGTCCTCACTGCAGCAGCACAGCAAACTGACTAATCTGTCGCTTGGTTAACATGGTCAGGCTCTAGCTTTGCTTTAGACACTTGTGTTTAAAGCCTGCAAAGGTATTCGCTCCAGAGCATCTCCATTGTCCTGCATTAGCACCTGGCTCTTGGGTGGTATTTCTGAGGAACAGGCTTCCAGCAGACCTGGTGATGTCCCTGTGGCACTGCAGGGGCAAGGGTGGATATTTTCACAGTACCCTGTCTCGTGCAAGGGAGAGGGATGTGGGCAGAGAACCCCAGCAAAGGCAATGATGTGCTGAGCAGGGACTGTGGACCCTGTGACACCAAGGGCCCTTTGGGAATGAAGTCAGGCTGCTGCTGGAGTCACAAACAGCTTGGGGCAGGGGAGGGGGACAAG